AGGAAGGCAAATCCTACTTCGAGCTCTTCGACTTCCTTCTCTGGAAGGAGAAGCTATTGGCGGTGGGCATCTACAGAACTGCCCTGGGCTTGGCGAGCCTGAGTCGTGTTGCTGCAACAAGCCCTCATGCTAGCCGCTTGCGCAACGTGTTGCTGCCGTCACGCCATTGCATCATGCAGCGAAGGGACTCCGTGACAGATACAGGTTGGCTAATGTACAGCGTACAAAGTGTAACTTATGTATCCCATCCTCATGTTCCTCCGCCTTCTCCTCCTCATCGTGATAATCAGCAGTCGTCACCATCGGTCCTGAGTCAGTACCTTGTTCGTGATCATGTTCAAGCTCATCTTGGTCGTCAGGATCGCCCGGTCATCATCATCATCATCATCATCACCATCACCATATTCACCAACTTCGTCGGCATCGTGACCATCAATCTCACGATCCCTGCCATCAGTGCCATCAGTCGGCCAGACAGCCATCGCCTCACTGCCATCACCAACATCAACATCACTTCCGCCATCCTCGCCATCGCCACCATCACCATACATCATCACCTGAAAACACTAGCGTCACCAGCATTGCCGCCATCACCAGAGTCACCGTCGCGGGCATTATTACCTTCACCCTCATCATAGCAAGCAGGACCATCCTCGTCACCATCACCGTCATCATATCAGTCGTCATCACCATCCGCTATCATCAAGATGCAGCAGTTTCGCCTTTGTTCCGCCTGGTTGTTGCGAAGAAATCACATGGCCAAGGCAGAAGTGAGTCCTGGAGGCTCGCTCTGCCGTCGGCAGGGGGTGCTTGCAGTCTTCGGAGTTTCCTGACAGGGACACGTTGAAACCACAGGGTTTAGGGTTTAGGGCTGGCAGGCTTTCTAGCAGAGGTACAGGATAATTAAGAATCAAGACTCCGTCCAGGCTCACTTATGTGGGTGCTTACCGAAGAGAGCGAATGAATCAGCAGCTCAGTATGTAGAAACATTTATAAGGCTTCGTAGATGTGCATGTCCATGTCCGAGGTTTACATGTATGTGTGTGTGTGTGTGTTTGTGATTTAATGTGTGTGCCTGTGTGTGTGTGATAATGTGTCTGTATGGGCTTATATACTCGTAGATACAAATACACTTTTGCATATATATATATGTGTGTCTACATGCATATACATATACATATATATATATAGGTGTGTGTGTGTGTTTGTATATATATATATGTGTGTCCATATGTGTATGTTATAGTGTAAGAACGTGTGTAGGTATGCGTGCATCCGTGCATGCATGCGCATACATGCACGTACACATGCACACACACACACACACATATATATATATAGATAGATATACTTATAAATATAAATATAAATATACATGCATGCATTCATATGTATGTGTATGCATACGGGCATCCCCCGGCACGACCAAATTAGATGCAGTTGTAGACATGAACTGTGGTGCAGAAGATCAGAACAAGTGCTCTTAAAGGTTCCATGTAACACTAGTTGAGTCACTAATCGTGACAAGAGGTCCTTGTGTTACACGTGTTGCGTGCTCCAATCCAAGCTAACCAAAGCCTCAGCTAAGAGAGGTGCACAGCCACCACAGGCCCCACCCCACAGGGGGCGGCGGGAGGGGGGCATGAGGGGAGGATACCATGGGGTGGGGGGGGGAGGGGGGGTGTGACAGCCCCGCATCATATATGCATAATATACACATAATATTGTGTGCGGACTTTCTCACTCGCATACATCTGCTCATTTGCTGCACTTACTTACATGTTCCATCATTTTCCCGAGGCGATGAAAACGAGGTGGACACGAGTCGTCACTTGGCTGCCCGCAAGCTGCAATCTTTTCGGGCCGACAGTTCTTAGTGGAACGGGTCTCCGACATAAGCTTGCTTTATTGGCCTTTGGCGCCCGGGACTTCCACCGCTATGAAAGAGCCGCAACATGCCGGAGCAGACTTGGAGGCGGAGGTTTTCAGGCATTGAGGGTTCGAACATGTCTACGATTCCCGACAACTTTCCTTTCTTAACATGATGCACCAGAGCAAGAGCCCTGCAAAGCGCCGATTCGCAGGCGGAACCCGTCGGCAGAGCGTGAGTGGTGGAATGGTAAGCTCAAACCTGAGCCCTTACGTGATCTCGGGGCTAGAGTTTCATACGGTTAGGGCTTCGAAGGCTTGTGCGTGATATGAAAGCTTACGCAGGCTCATGGCAAGGATGCACCGCTCACTGATTTGTGTGAGGTTGTTTTGGCAGTCACTTCCATGCTTAGCTGGAACGTTGTGACACCGGTCCACCCACAAGTGTCCGGACCGCCCAGACCCTCCTACAAACCGGAGAAGCCAGCACGGTGTGGAACCAAGAGAGCTTTACAGGTGATCCAGGCCCCGGTGCCAACTGCCAGCAACACTGACAATAAATGTCATAGTTTCACATGGTCGTTGTCGTTGTCATCGTTGTAGTCCTTGTAGCAGCCGTCGAAGTAGCACTCGTCGTAGCGGTAGCAGTAGCAGCAGTAGCAGTAGCAGCAGCAGTCGCAGTAGGAGTAGCGGTGGCAGTGGCAGTGGCAGTCGCGGTGGCAGTGGCAGCAGCAGCAGCAGCAGCAGCAGCAGCAGCAGAAGAAGATGTTAACGAATATGTCGCTCAGCCACAACTGTTGCACAGCGCAGGCAATGGTATCAACTGCCATGGTACATGCAATCGTGGTAACTGTCTGCAGTCCATTCCACGGCTCCTGCTGCGAGCCGCAAAGTAACAGCAACGACACCAATACGAAGCAGGACGACGACGACAATGATGGTGATGATGATGATGATGCTGATCTTGCCCAGATGTCCTGGCGTGCGTTGCCTTCCTAGTTTTGTGGCATTCCGCAGATCGACTGAGGGGGGACCGAAGACTGAAGCTAGTGAAGCCGATATTCTGAACAAGCACAGTAACCTCCACTGCAAGTCTTCACGCTGACTAGGGACCCTTAAACATGTGCACACGAGTTAGTCGCATACAAACCTTGCAGGTTTGCAGTTTCGTCCTTGCATTACTTAGCTGGTTCTTTTTCTTGTCAAGATAGCTACTCTTGTTGAAAACGCCTTGATAACCGGTAGCAGAGGCATCGTGATCATCATCCTCATCATCATTTCCAGCCTCTGCGATAGTGTGCAGAAAAGCTTTCTCTTTGCCAGAGAGTGCCAAGGTGGCGATTCCGTGCGCGCCTCGCGCCTCACGGACTCGAAGGGCGGGGGGCGAAAGACGGTCAGGCACCACCCAGCGGTTGAACATGCTTGAATCCCCGACGCGACTTATTCACGGTGTGTCTGCATAATCTAGCTTGCCAGACTGTTCCTACAGGGCTAGAGCACGTCTTTCTGCAATTTGGCTGTGGTCAGCTTATCGACTGGAGGGTTGTAGGTTCTGTGGTTTGAGCGTGTCTTCAGTTCTTTGCGCTTGTACGGGGAGCTGATTTTCACCAGGGTCAACTTCGTCTACACTGCACCCCCTGGCAAAGAGACTGTGCGGGACCAAGATCAGGGAGTGTCTTTGCCGCAGAGGGTGCCTCAAATGGCCCATACAGTGTTTCTCTAGCGGTCTAGCGACTTTGTGGTTTTGTAGGGTTTTTTCTAGGGATTCTAGGGATGTACAAGGCGCTGCAAGGATTTAGGGTGAAAGACCCGTGCAACCTAAACCCAAAACCCTAAACCCTAGCAACAAAACCGAGGCCATGGTGCCCGGAGATCGAGTCATCTGCTTCGAGTGCAGAAAGGAGCCGGCAAGAGATGGTAAGGCGTTAGGCTCCCTGTGGAGATCATTGTGTTCAAGTTCTACTGAAGCATTACAGGTGGCCGGTGGCCTTGTGCCTCTGTCTTGGCACTGTCAAGTTCTCTACTTCTGTAGCCAGCTACAGGTAGGACTATCCTTGCCCAGTGGTCGTGAAGCACGTCTAGCTGCTCCTGCGATTGGGTGCTCCGCTGCCGCCATCTTGCTGTTGCTAGGAGTCGCCAGGTGCAACTCCGGATCGGAACTAGCTAGTTCGGACACCTCCTACAAGTACTAAACCCTGCACCCAAAACCTTCAATCCTTAAAAGTGATGAGTCGCAGGACTTGTAGAAGGAGTGAGCTGCTCTCTCGGTCGATGTCTCGTCGGGGCCACAGCCGCACACAGGCAGCTTCCGAGAGTGGGATCCCGGGCTCGGCCTGGCATGCCTCTAACGAGCCAACTTATAATACAGTATAGCATACTCGAGTATTCTACAATCACAATATAGAACAGATTAGAAAATAATGGAATATCATTCACATGTGATCCCAAGGGGCGGCTTGAATGGGAAGTGATCCTGCTCCTCGACAATTTGTGGGTGCGAACCCTGCATGCTCTTTTTTTAGCAAGCGGCCCGACGATGACTCTTACTTAAAGTCCCAAGAAAGAGGAGAGAGAGAGAGGTTCCCAAGAAAGGCCCGTCTGCAGCCATTCCTTCGAATCTGGGTATTGAGAAGATTCGTCATGGGCTCAAGAAACACTTCATCCTCAACTTACCGGCATGAAGTCATCCGAAGTCAAGGCAATAGGAGTTTCACTGTGCCGAACATGCGAAGCATGCTCTGCAACATAGCTCGAGAGTCATTCAATGGAAGCGATGAAGACGTGCCCGATTCCTCGTGTCAGCATTGCTACGAACAGCGGTGTCGGATGTAATTGGGCAGTCCGATTTCGGAAGCTGAGTGGCAAAAGCTGAGCATGGTCATCAGAAGGTTGTAGCATCCGGTCGTGGTGCTTCTGCTGCAGTCTGCCTTCCTGCAAGCTCGGTCCAAGATTGCATCACGCTCTGCATGAGTGTAACCTGTAAAGCAAGGCTTCAGTGTTTTTGCGCATGCTCATGTCATCGCATATCAAAATATCGTCTGACAGCTTCGGCACAGGTTCGAGAGAAGTCAGACAGGACGTCGCTTGTATGCTGATATTTCAAACCTCGCACACAGCTTCTGAGCGCTTCCATGGCGCTGGCTTACCGGCTGCCTGGCTTGTTGGACCGCTTCCGCGAAGATGGGGGGGGGGGGGTTGAACCCCCTGAAGGCCCTGAGCCCTTTGGACGCTCTAAATCCCCAGTAACCAGGCCCCTTAACCCTGAACCCTGAATCCCTCAACCCTCAAACGCCTAATCCCCTCTACCCGACAATCTCTAAAGCAGCCAGGCTTGTCTTGTTTGCCGTGCTTGGCTCCCTGGTCTACTCGGGCCCGGCCGACCATGGGGACACCACCAGCAGGACCGAGCGTCAGGCCCTCAATGCTGAAGAGCAGGGCTTGAACTGTATTCATCTACTGTAGCTCTATATGTGTGAGCGTATAATATGTCTGTATGACACTTATATGGACGCATAAATTAAAATTGACATACTACACAGATACACAACTAGATACACATATAATTCGGGATACTTGTACTTATATATTATATATATATATACATATATTTATATCTATGTTTATGTTTGTCTAAATGGATACAAAAATACTCTCGCTCAGGAAACAACTGGGCCGTGCTGGTGGAGACGTCTCGCTACTGGTATAACTATCGGCACGCAGCAAATGCTCCTTGGAATCGAAGCTTAACCTTGTTCTGATTTCTATGAAGGTAAGCAGCAGAGAGCCCGCCCGATTGAACACTGCTTCCCGCCTCAGACGCTGTCCTTCTACCACACTGTCAAGCGCCTTGGTATCCCCGACTCACAGATCATCCTCATGATGGCAGAGGACTCCTGGGGCCAGAGGGGCTTCGACTGCATCGGGTGCAATGACAGAGTTGCGAGAGCTGACATACTCGCAAGCAGCAACATTCGTCCCGAAGCAGACGTTGATTTCCACACGATCCTTTTCCAGGACATGCCATGCAACTCGCGGAACGCGCGGCCTGGGACTGTCTTCAACGAGAAGCCGGGGGCTTGGTGAGGCGGTAGGGTTACCATAGGACTGTTGTAGCTGTACTATAAGACGAAGAGATGTTTTATCGGATTACCCAAGGAGTGAGCCGCCTGAGGACGTGGAAGCGATGTCCTGAAGCCTGACATACCAAACTACGTTGGAATACGTACTGTGCATTGTGGGTTACAGACGGTCGCCCCATGTAAGATCGCACTATAGCATGGTGTGTTAGCATTGAAGCATCATGCAGCATGATGCAGCAGAATGATGATATGCTACATGGCATGGTTTGGTCGGACATTGAACGATGCCGCACGTCAGTGTTTTCTGCCATAGCTTCTTGGTGCGATACGGCACAGTGCGGTGTAGCGCAGTAGGCACCTTGCCCCTCAAGGCAGCATAGGCTCAACCTCTACGGCGAGGACGTGGAGGCCGAGTCTGGGGATGCCAGACCCTCACCCTCTTGGGGTCTTTATAGAAACCTGCGTTCCTGGACAGGTGGACTACCGGGGCGATGAGGTTTCCGTGGAAAACTTCTTACGTCTCCTGACAGGCGAGATAGATGCCAGTGCTTGGCTCAGGGTTCTGCCTACTCCTACTGTCCCGATTCATTATTCATGCTGCTCTGGGGTATTATGTCACACGTATAGAATTGTGTATGCCGAAACCTTATTCCAGTGATTACGACCGCTATGTTGGTAGCATCTCCATGGCCCGCGATAGATTAGAAACGAACCAGAGATTGCCCAACTCCGAGTTATCGCTGAGTGCCTACCGCAGGGCGCCATGCGCCAAGCACGCCCCGCAACAAGCGGCTGCTCACGGACTCCTCGAGCGCACAGCCTAGCTTGGATCGGGACTGCAGCAAGGGAGGGGATGTGTGTGTGTGTGTAAATATACATATGTATATATATATATATACATATATATATATATATATGTAATGCGCACATGTTTGCTTGCTTTAACAGGTATCCATGTGTTTCTTTGTTTGCAGGTATAATGTCTGTTTGGATCATGCAGGCGGCAGATTCGGGCTGTCACTCTCAGATCATCAGCTGGATGCAGCTGCCTACGGTAAAAGCATGCTTTGAACTCATGTCTTTATGCCAGTGTGTTGTGCATATGGCACGATTCACCGTGTGTGTAGTCTGGAAAGCACGATCTTCGTAAACTCTTGGAGAGAACGACAGCCGACAGGCACGTTAAGTGGACTCTGCAAATGGATTGTAAGGCAACATCTTCATCTTCATCACCGGCCACTCCGGTGAAGAGTTCATCAAGTTCCAGGACATGTTGGGGCAGTTGAGCTTCCTGCTGGTTCCGGTTTCTTGAAGTACGGTCTCTGGGATTTGATTCAGGGGCTTACTGCAGCGGGCTGCACAATGCGTTTGCAGAAAGCAGGCCGTGACCCTGTCTTGACAGGACTGGGAGGAGCTCACCTCCAACGACATTGCAGACGCATTTAAGCAGATGCAGCAGCAGCTTATGCCTTAGATTCAGCAGTAAACGATTTCTGTGCGTGCGAACGCCGGTTGTGTGCTAACTGTCAAATCTTCTCTGCATCAGACTTGCAGTGTCTTCCATGTTCCTAGAAGCTCTACAAATCAAAAGGGCAAGGCCATTTGGTAGCGACGTCAGGCCCAGAATTCCCTCCTCCTCCTGCTCCGACACACCAAGGCGGCGGTACAAGCAGATCTTCTGGGTGAGTGACACCTGCCAAGCAGCCACGCTGCAGAATCAGCCGCACCGGCCGGTTTTTGTGCCCAACTTTGTGGTTGAGTGTTCCTGCCTAGCCCAGCAGTAGAGTGCCAGAAGAAAAGAGTCTGTTGCTGCCCCGTCCGGTAAGCTCAGAAGGTTTTATTCGCCTGGCATTCTGGCCTATGGCAGCAGCGGCAAGAAGGCCAGTGTCGAGTTTCTGCCTTCGGACATCTTCGGACTTTCAGACTCCAGGGTCTCTGGTTCTCCGTGCGAGAAGGGAATCCATTGCAGAAGGATTACACTCGTCCCTGGCACAGCTGTCGGTGCGGGAGGGACTTCGACTTCGCGCGCTGTCCACAGTTCTGCACATGCTCGCGCCTCTGAGGAGAACAGCTACAGCCACCACATCGATCATGAGCTGGGTGTGGTCTGCGGCTAAGCTCGAACTTCCGCCCGCTCGCCGAAACGATACGACACAGCTTGAACCAGAACCAGGGACACCCTGTCCTGAAAGGCCGTCATCGACCGCTTCACGTTCCACGCCCTAGACAAGCTGAACAGCCTTGCGTCCTCCTCTTCTGAAACGGCTCTTTGGCTGCTCTTGGGCGTAGCCACTCTGATCCAAAATTTGTGAGTTTGATGGATCCCCTACTTCTACTTACGGTCCCAAGCGGATCCGAGGTCAGGTCCTTCACCAGCTGGACCCGCTGCACTTGCTTGCCTGCTCTGCCAGAGCTTTCTCGCAATCCTGGGTAGAAATGGAGGAGGAACTCCATCCCTTCGCCCTCTACTTTAAGCCTTCCCTCCCTCAACCCTAAACCCTAAGCCTTCCCCCCAAAACACCCTACACCTAATCCGCTTCATCCCTCCCCAAGCCGTGAGAGGTTCAACCCAAAGCTGCTGAAGGCTTGGACGCCCTGGGCCCTCGCTTGGAGACTCCCCGGGTTCCCAGGTTGTTCTCGGGTTGGTTTTTGAGGTGCTTGTACCTGGGGGTTGATGGAAGCTAATCTTTGGCGCTGTTGAAGGTTTTGATTTTTGCGTCTAGGTTTGTTTTTAGTTTTGGGGTTTGCGGAAGTAGATTGGCAGAGACGGCGTGCAAGAGCTATCGTCCTTCACATCTTGTGATCGCGCCAGCATAGAGATGTCCTGCTGAGGGATCCGGGATCATCCAACGAGCGCACGGTGTATCACGGTGTCCTGCATGGGAAGAGTGGAAGAGTGTCGTCCATCGCCGTTGTTGCTTCTCTCTTTCTGCATTGACCGAAGTAGCAAAAGTTTGGCCTTGCTCGATGCGGTGCGGTTCGTTGCATGTTGACTTGCATGTCAGTCTGGCCGGACGGGCGCGGAGCAACAGTCCCATGCCGTCATGTTCAGATGTCCAAGCTCCGGTACTTTGTTGCTCAAAGCGTATACTGCGTTAGCGGCAGAGTTCCTGTTGCGAGCTTAGATCCTTTCTCAGGCGCACCCGGAGTTGCGAGCAGACCTCTTCGGGCGAGACCCCGGGTCTACGCTATTGACGGAGTTCATGGCCTCCACTGGCAGGCATATCGGGATCTCGCGGACAACTTTGACAAACATCTTGTTGTCGACTGTGGCTTCCACTGTGATGCAATCTGATGCGCCATCGCTCGGGATTGTCCTCTCGTCGCCGCGGTCGGCTGGCAAGTCGAAGTGAGCTTCCCGATTGACCAGACCCCGAAGCCCCAATCCTGCGGAAACCCACCGACCAGTGGGGGAAAGGACCCGATACACAACAGTTCCGACTACATAAAGGTCGGAATTAATACCAATGGTTTCTCCGTATAGTCCCTTGAACTAAGTAAACGATTCATATGCCCCAAAACCCTGCTCCGATGGTTAATGTTCCCATGTCATGCAAAGCGATGCTCTGCGTCGCAGGCCTCGGTTCCAAGACCGCCTGCTGCCTGTGGCAGCCAGTCCGGATCAGGAGGGCCAAGTATTCAGGGCGGGGGGGGGGGGGGCTTGAGGGC